CCCCCCCCACAAAAAAAAAAAAAAAAACCCTCAAGTGAAAATGGTAAAGTACATGCGACAGCGCAGCGAGCTGAAACCCGAAGAGGTCCTGTCGGAGTCTGATGCGTCCATGGACCAGCAGGATTTCGGAGAGATGTCCGACTATTCTTTCAGCGACGTCCTGTACTCCAAATGTTCCGCAATGGACCAAATCGGCACTTTCATGAAGAACGTGCAAGTGCTGCTCGATGCGGCGAATTACATAGAGAATGTGGAGAAGAGCAGCGGAAGTAAGTAAACCCGGGCTCGTACAGGGGGGACATTAACACGTAATGCGCCGAGCAGACAACAATAGAGGCGGAGGCGACGAGAGACGCGCAGCGGACGGATGAAGTGGCCCGACAGCAGCTCTGATAATTCACCTGCTACTGATAAACTGCGGTCTAATGCGCCCAGCACTTACAAAATAAGAGCAATTGAAAAGAAGTCTAAAAAAAAAGAGAAAGAAATCGCCTGCATTTTTGAATTCGGGAAGCTTTTTATTGCAACAATAGCCTGCAGCTGAATGACCTGCTCCCATTAAAGCTGCTCGACTTTAATGAATGAGCACGATTCAAGTCTTTATTGGCGTGAATAAGGTGGCATGTGTGCACATTTTGGATTCATAGTCGTAGATGTTTTTATGGTGTTTGGGACTTCTCATTTCCGATCTGATCTTTTATCTCAGTTTTTATGGCAGTTGCTTTCGGGGTTGTTCTGTTAAAAATGTCCCTCCCCACTCCCAAAAACCTGTCGCCTTCACGGACCCTGTTGCACGTACGGAACTGAGATTTAGAGCTTATTTCTCCCCTAAAAGTGTCCAGTTCAGTGTCTGTCGTTTTCAGAGGCAGCAGCTGCTTCCTTGTATGTGTTGTTCACATGGTTTCCACATGGAACAAATTTTAAAGTTCTCATTGGTCGGGATGCATGTTCCCAGCGCGAGAGTCACTGCAGATAGCCAATCACACGCGGGTTCATGTCTGACGTCCTATGTTACTGGGATGGGGGGTTCATGGGAACTGTAGGAAGGAAAATTGAGAATACTGTGTTTTTACAACATATTCCTAATCTTAAAATACATAATTACACCCTAAATGTTAATCATAGAGAAAAACTAATATTAATATTTTATGAGAAGCAACAAGGATTGTCTGTGTAACACTGAGTTTTAGTTCTTTAAGTTTAATTCCATGGATGTGTTGCCTCCGGTCACATATTTAAATGTGATTTAGAATTCAGGTCAAATAAGGTCACATGCATCATGCAAATCCAGGCCTTCGTGGAGCATCTCTGCTTGTAGCACACATTGTAAAATCTGTACAATCTATTTAATCCTCTTGATCTTTTTTTATCACCAGAATGTGAGCATGGGTACGCTTCAACATATCCAACAACCCAGACTGCACTCCAACAGAAACAGCGCAAGTTCAAGAACAGGAAATTAGACAATATTCACAATAGGTAGGTTCATGTGTTTGTAGATGTGAATGTTTGTCTTCATTTGTGTATTATGGCGTGATTATTCCAACTATTGAATGTGCTTTGTACATATTATACGTAGATCGTATAATAGGTTGTATTTTGCATTATTAAGACTTGTATGACAGTTTTGTTTTTGTATTTATATTTTCAACAGGTCAGCACACAATGAACTGGAAAAAAATAGGTGAGTAAAACGAGTTTTGTGCATGTTTATGATGAAAACAATCCATACCGAAAGGTAAAGACTACACAGGAATATTAAGAGACGTGAAAAGGGCAGTCATTCATCCCCCATTTGTTATATATACATAACATGTTAAGTCCAAAATTGTGGACGTGCAAAAGTCATATAGATTGCTTTAGCAAATGAGGTGCACAGGGCGTTTATCTCAAGAGCCAGCTGTCTCAAAATGGAGCTTCAAGCTGATAAACCAAAAGCTTTCTCCATTCTTCCGTGTTTGCATATCTCGGTGCTATGTTAAATATGTTGACCATACCATTTTAAAAACGAGATGTACTGCAGGCCTATAAATGAGCTTATTATCATCACAGGACTTCAGAGAGGGCATTTCTGTCAACAACCTATAAAATTCGCCTTTTGTACACGACGGCAGTGTGCGTTTTGCAATGCAAATAAAATGGAGGTGTAATGCAGCCTCAGTAGCAGCTCTGTTCCTGGAGGACATGTGGACATTTCCCCAGTCAGCAAACGGGAACCGTCTGTTTCCAGACAACAAGGCTCCTTCCTGAGAGATTCTCAGCTGCAAATCTAGCAGCAGCTCGCCTCTATAGCTCCAGGATGAGGCTGCCTCTGCTTTGAGCAGGAAACAAATGTCAGGACACATTCATCCTAGAATTAAATGCCCAGTTAATCTCCAAAAAGCAAACCATGTGTGTGAAAATCTTGGTTCGAGGGATGCACTAAGTGATGAAAAAAAAAGGCATCTTCAAGAGAAAGGCTTATTACACATTGGGCTATTTTTTTTTATTACAAAATGGTGGCCAATGCAGAGAGATGAAATGACATCACAACTTGACCTACATTTTACTCCATTATTTGAAAGGATAGTGAGTGTTCTTTGCCAGTTTCTGCCTTCGTTCAGACCACAGGCCCAGAGGTCTCAGTGGATCAGAAACAGAGTATCAGGCTGACATCAGCAGCTTTTAAATCTGGGGCCAGACAGATCCATACGTAATTGCAAAAGGAGTCAGATGGTGTGGCAAAAATGGATAAAAAGATAAATCGGGTGCCTTGAATACTTTGACTGTTACATTGCTCATCATACATTGATTAAGGGTATCAGAATTAGAATTGATCAGGAGCAATCAAGTAGTTGTTTGCTTTAACTATTACAATACTAATCAAATTGGAGAAGGAAATATTATAATCTGACTTAATCAGGATCAGTACAGAGGATAAGTAGTCTGGAAATCTCGTCTTTCAGTTTTCTGTCCTGTATAAGTCTCGTATAATGCACATTACTCCGTGCATGCTGTCTCTAAAGAGAAATGACCCTTCTCGATTGTGTCTCCTCCCACAGACGAGCACATCTCCGCCTGTGTTTGGAGAGGTTGAAGTCCCTCATCCCTCTGGGACCAGACTGCAGTCGGCACACCACACTGGGACTGCTCAACAAGGCCAAAGCACATATCAAGGTGTGGTAGTCTAAGGCAGCCCCCTGCGGTATGCTACTATTGTAGGATTAAGGGGGTTAAATTATGTCATTTTCTGTGCACAGAAGTAATGACGTAAACATATTACTGATACTAATTCTGTTAGTGTGCTTTACTTGCCTTTTCCTGACTGGCCTCATGGTTATTGTTGGTAATACCAGTCGCAGCAGCAATGGCTCCACTCTATTTGACCGCCCCAGTATGTCATGACAGTGTGACAGTGATACCAGGGCACTGAAACTAAAGCAGCTAAATGGAATTCAGCCATTGTTAATTTCATTATTTACTCATCTACCTTTCCTACTGTGACATGTCAAAATCTCATCATTTGAAACATTTATCTCTTTTCTAAGACAATTTGGACAAAAGCGTCTGCCAAATGAATGAACGTAAATTCTATTTGTACAAAACAAAAGAAAAGTTGTGCCTGTTGCTCACACACTCCCAGAATTAAGAGATATCTGGCTGCTCCCTAGAGTGAAAAATGGCTGGTGTGATATTGACAGCAAATATAGATCTGCAGTATTACAGAGGATACCTTTGAAATACAAGGGAGGGTCCTGGTGTCCATTTGATTCCTATGTGAGACCCAATGTGAATTAGACATCTTAAAAAACATAAGCCTTACCAGTCAATAGATTGATCCTGTTTTTTTTAATTTTTAGAACAAAATTGTATTTTAGTGTCCTAGCTCTCGCTCTTGGTGGCCCACAGTCTCTGGGTTTTCCTCGAGGTACAAGCCGCTGTGCTGTGCTGATACTTTACTGTCCGTCAGTACATTCTTTGGTGTGTTAGTTCAGCACTCGCTGCCGGATGAAAGGGTATTGGTTGATAAAGACACAAACCGAGCTCCCGCTTGTTGTGTAATCATAGCTGACACCATTGAAAGAGGAGGAGGGTCTGGATCTTCTATCTCTTTTTTGATCTTTTTGCCTCAGTTTGATGTCTCACATACGTTACGGCAAACTGACATCAGTTTGATGCTTAATTGCCACTCAATCGCCTCACGTTAGAAGTGGTTAAATTCCATTTTATTCCTTTTCCCTAGACACTTACAGTCTGTTTTCTCAGAGCCATACGATTAACTGCACTTTACGGCACTTTGGCCTCAGTACTAAGACATTAATGGTTGCTGCTTGGATATTTCAGTTTTTCATCCCCTTTGAACAAATCTCCATTTGGCTGTTGCTGCACTTTGTAGGATTTGGAGCCTCAGTGAGTCTTTGATTGCGGTCTAATGTGTTTCACACTACAGGAAAATGCGAATAGTACACTGATCGTTGGTGTCGAGAGCATCAGATCCGTCCTGGTTGTTAGAACTGCCTACCTGAATGGACCGCTGAGTGTGTCTGAGCTACACGAGACTGTAGCATCAAAGACTCAACACTTTGGCTCCCATGATGGCTACAATCAAAGCCAAATATGATTTTTTGGGGGAAATGTTGGACTTTCTTGAGCCCAGTCTGTGCAGGCTCCAGCAGTGGGAGGCAGTGGATGGATGACTGAGGGCTGCAATAAGAAAACAATCCTGGCAACGGTCTGTGGGAGTTTATCACAGTAGGGGGGGTACTGGATAAAGTACCTATGATGTCAGCTGTTGACTTTGGACTTGTTTGAGTCCAGGAAATGTGGCTTCTGAATGCTGCTGTGTTGTATTTTTGGAACCAGAGGTTGTGTATGAGACTAAAATGGTGGTGCAGGTGCAGCCAGCATTAAACTCACAGCTACAGGAAGTACAAAAAAAAACACAAAAAACACCCTGTATTGTGCTACAGGAAAAGCATGGATAAGTGCTACTTTGACGTTTATTGAGGAAACACTGTACCAAACTTCCAAAGGAATTTTACTGTACTTTTGAAAACATGCAAGCCTCTATCAGACATTATTGAGGACTAGTAGCACCTGTAGAATTTATTCTTGCTCCCAACACCCGGTATAGTGTGTGTATTTTTTATATGAGAGGATAACAACTGATATAATTACTAAACCTTTATGGCTATACCAGCGAATGGTACGTCATATTATGTCATATATCATGTCTCTTTCATAAAGTTGGGAAATATCCTAAATCAGTATTCATTTCACAAATATAATTTCTATTTGTCGCCACAAACGTTGTGTCACAACCGCAGTAAATCTTGGCTCACGTACACAATGTTAGGACTACTACAGTGGCATAAATCCAGTTTTTTTTTAATTTATGGTCCAATCAGGCGTGATGGTGTGAAGTGATTGGATCCCCTCATGATTACTGAGGTTCATAGTGCATCTTCAGGACTTTGGTTATTTGCGAGCTTAACCAGACACACTTTAAGTGAGCTGTTTGTGTGCACTGTTTGAAGTATACAGTCTTTAATTAAAATGACTACTTAACACCACAAATAAACCAAAATCAAAGTTTAAACAAACAAATGAAGAGCTAAGAATGTATAAAATAAATGTTTTTGCTAAATGCAGGACAAGATGACCTTTATAATCCAAATACTCTGTCTTTTTCCATCCAGTCATCTTTCTCTTATATCCACCTCACAGACACACCAGCTATTACTCAACTAGCAACTTGCTGCCCTTGTGTGCTGAATTATTTATTAAAAGGCACAGGGGGGCGTCCCATTTGACGGCAGCAACAACTACATATTAACATCAACTCTCTGCATACGAGACAGGTTCGCCATCCTCTCGTGCATGTAGTATATTAATCATAAGGAACATCTAGAGAAGTGTTGTCAGATTGGAGTGATTTTATGCAAAATAATGAATGTAAACACCAAACATGGCACATTGGATCCGCACACGCTGATGGTCTTGATCATCTTCAGGTGTCTACATAACAAGAACGCAATTAACTTGTCTGCATTTCTCTCTTTTCAGAAACTTGAAGAGATGGATCGGAGGAGTCAGCACCAGCTGGAGAACTTAGAGAGGGAGCAGAGGCACCTGCAGAGGCAGCTGGCCCAGCTGCAGCCTCACGGAGACAGGGAGAGGGTCCGTATAGACAGCCTGGGCTCCCGCATGGACTCAGACCGCTCAGAGTCTGACAGAGGTTAGTGTTCAAATCAGAAATTTGTCCGTACACTTGATGATTCAGAACATTAATCTGTATTAATTCACGTTTTGTTTTTGTTTTCGAACAGAGGAGATTGAAGTCGATGTGGAAAGCACTGAGTTCTCCCATGGAGAAATGGACAGTGTAAGCACCAGTGGTGCAAGCGACCTGGATGACCACAGCAGCCGGCAGAGCTCAGCCAGCGACGAGGGCTATTCCACTTGCAGTCTAAAACTGGCCTTCTCTGCTTAAAACACCAGCCTATACTTTCATACTACAGCTGCAGTCTTTTTATGGCTTTCACCTTTTAAAGTACCAGCCTACAGCTCCATTCCCCCTCGCAGTTTAGGTTAACTGTCCTCAGAAGAACCAACCTCAATCCCACCTTTACCTGACCAATGAAACGTCTACTCTACCCTGAGAACCAGCCTTAAGTTCAACTCAGTCTAAAAGTTTAAAACGTCTCCTTCCAAGAGCCGGAGCCCCCTGGCTCTGCATCAGTCTGAAACATTTTACACAACAGCCTCAAATTTAACTTCTCTGGCAATATATAATGTCCTCATTTTTCAAAGTTACTTGACTTGACTTGACTTAACCAATCACCTGAATGTCCCTTAACCCATAACCAGCTGGAATCAACCATTCCTGCACTCAATACTGATCCTATAGAGGGACCCATGATCGCACCAGTGTCCAACACTGAACGGGAAACTCTACCTTTAGTAAAGTTGATCCTCTGAAACCAGCAAAAACACAAACAAACCCAATACCAGCTAGAAGCTCACCATTGGGAACGTTTGCTCCATTTGCCTTGTAAAAACATTGCCCTTTTTCTTTGGATACAATATCCAGATGGCACTTCTTATCAGTGTATAAGCCAGTTGCAAGGGCTACCATGTCTGCATTCCAAAATGTTTATTACACTCCTTTAACTTCTGCTTTAGGACCCACAACCACCATTGATCCACGTGGGGTCCCCCCTCCTCTTGACTGAAATAGTTGTATCCAAACAGGTGGTGTAGTCCACCCTTGTTACCCTAATTTATTTTGCATATGATTATACTATTTATTTTTTTTGGTATATTTAATTTTACTGTAGCTAGGTCTTGGTCATGCTTGAATGAAAAACTGTTTTAAACTTCTTTTTTTTCTCTCCATTGCTCACCAAATTACTTGACATGAAATGAATCCCCACTAAAGCATATGCAGTGCTAGTTTAAATGCATTAAACCTCTCACTGGTGTTTTGTTGAAAGAAGAAAGTCTCTCTTTCACACAGCGCAAATTCAGTTTTTATTTAGACAGTAATAAGCTATCCTGCACTTGTCCAAGCACAAGGCTCAAGCAATAACGCGCGTAGTTTTTATCATATCTTTAACGTTGGCTGTGTTTAGCACGATGATTCTGTCCGTCCAACACCAAATTGCAGTTTGCTAGTTTTCCACTAGCTCCAGTAGTGGTATCAGTTATTAATAATCAGCAGTAAAATGATCGTAATTTTTTTTTTTTTTTTTTTAAACAGTGCATGTGTGTTGAATGTAGCTTGTCTAATCATGTTGTAATGTGCTTTCGATTGACAAGTCCTAAAAAAAAAAAAAAATATCTGTAGCATGAACATAAACACTACAGAACACTAATTTTGGTTTATACTTCAATGTTTAATACTATATCTTTTTTTGTATTGTAGCAGAAGTACAAGTTGAAATCCTTGAAATTTGGAGACTTCCCATTGATAATTCAATGTATATTTGACACATAGAATTGCACTGCTGACCTGTTAGAATCCATGAAACCAAATAAGACATTTCAATAAGACCATTTATCAGCATTTTTCTGGTCCAAGTCCGAACTAGATCACCACCAAATTGTGTCTTAACATGGGTATATGGCTCTTGCACAAAGTTCCTTGTTACAGGTCTTTTTTCCCCCCCTCCCCAACATGTTTGGGAAACTATAAAATGCACTATGAAAAAGACTTTTGTTAAGGAAGTACGTCAAAGCACACCCCAGAATGTTTTCTCTTGTGCTTAATCAGCCATCCAAGGTGACTTTTTTGCAAAACATGTGCTGCTGGTCCCCTGCTAAGACTTTGTAACAGTTCCTGATAACTGTCCCTGGAATCTTAATAAACCTCTACCACCCAGACATTAACCTATGTTGTCTTTTGTTAAGCCTTCCATTAATATTTAGTTAAATAATGTGGGTGTCTTGTATTAAACCGAGACTGTAGTTGTTGAAGAGTCTTAATTTTGCTCAAAGGAAAAACATGTATCACATATATATATATAGTAAAAAAAAAAAAAAAAAAAAAAAAACTTTAATGGGAAAACAGGTTGTATTAACAGCATGTTGCTCATGAAATGGATTTAATATTAAATTGTACAAGTCTTTACTGCCACCTACAGGACAGAGCCACAATGAAAATATAATGTAAAAACTGTCAAAATGAGGTGGAAGCAGGTATTTAAAAAACTGAAAACAAAACCATGTTTATTTCACTGTTATATACACAGAAATTAAAATGTAAAATTCAACCATCTCAAATAAAACACCATTATAAACGTTCGGACTCCCCACAATGGATCGGCGTTTAGGATCAAGATTCAAATTTACACACAAAGTGTACAGGTGTCATTTTGTACACATCTTAGCAGGTATTTGGCCTCAGTGGAACCTGGACACAAACAGCAAACTCTACAGCTTTTCTACAACACCACTTATTATTCTTACATAACAGGTGACCTTGATCCAGTGCAGGGAAAATCCCTTCCATTTCGATTTTTTTTGTTGTTGTACCTACATAATATATAAGAAAACTACATCAATATATCAGACAATGGTGTGCAAGCAATTCCTTTCAAAGCTTTCTTTACTTTAGAAACTTAAATCATGTATAAACACAATGGAAAGCACCGATACAGCTAGTGTACAGTGGATTATTATATACACAATATATCAAGTCACTGTGGCATTAGATGTCTGACGTTGTATTTTGACGTGTCATGATACTGAGTCATAGGTTTGTCCGCAATACCGCATGTTCCCACTCCCACCTTCCCGTTTACGCTTTCTGGAGATGCGAATATGCTCCTCTTTACCTGCAAAACACAGGAAAGTCAGAGTTAATGATTTGAAATATTTAACAATGGATTATTGGGTAACTTTTCACTCTCACCCAGTCATACAGCTGCAATTCACGGGCAGTGTTCTAGTTGTACCTGGCCCTCCAGTCATGTAGCACGCTGCAGTGTGCAATACCATGCAGTGTGAAGGGCAAGTGGTGGATGGGCTTGTGGGTGAAATGGCTAAAGATCCTGCTCCGATTTCTGCCAATACTTCTGAATTTTTAATCAATTTTCACACCATACTGACTTGGAGTTCCCCACTCCAAAGACTCATGCAGCTGTGTGAATTCACACTTTAGTTGCACTTAATTGGAACTGATGTCCTCAATTCTGATGCTAGATAGTGATCCTGCAATCTTGGCTGTACAAGCTGCGGGTCCAGTTGAGTCCTTAGAACATACTCGTTAAAATAAAAAATTGATGAGGCCTGCCGGGAAACTGGTTGCCATACAGCAAAAGGTTCTTAATAACATAGTCAGTGGTCCTTGAAATTGTGGCAAGACTATGACATACCACGAGCACTGATTAAAAAACCCAAATTGCAGAGTGTCTCTGCAGTAGCTTGCATCACTGTACACCGTTCTTAATGTGAGCTGAACTTCGAAATGTAAGTACCTTAAAACACAACTGCGATCAGTCTGTCTTTCCCTTTAAGTTGTATTGTGAAGACGAGCGGTTGAATTCACACACCATGTTATTTTAATATACCGTTGTCTGCGACTTGACGGACAGCGTTTTTCCTTTCTCGTTTGCAGAGCTGTTGCCTGGCTTACTCATACATAATGCCATTCACTACAGAACCACGGCTGTAGGAAATCACATCACGCAATAAAGGAAAGCGTCGACAGTATCTCCAGTATATAACCTCTGTCCAGTGTGTTTCCCAGCACTACTATCATACATTCAGGCTTCTAGAAAAGAACACATACCTGTCCTTTCTTGTTCTTTGAGTAGGCTTTGTTGTTGAACTGTTGCCACTTTGACTTTTGCTCCTCCCTCTCTTGCTCCAATTCCTTCATCCTCAGAACCTTCTTCTGGGCTTTCTTCTTCTTATACTCTCGCTGCTCCGCTATCTGCTCTTTCCTAGAAAGACAGACATGGAAGAGAAAGATTTAAACCCGGTCCATGATAGTACAAATACAATCATGTCATATGGGGTTGTAACAAATATGAAATAACATTAGTGAGACCAACGTACAATATAATTTGAAGAAAACCTGCATTAATGAAAACATATGAGCATAAACATATTTGATCAACCAGGTACAGAAAGGAATTATTTGATTCTATGTGGCGTGAAAAACTGCCCATCATCTACTGCAGACACTTTGAAATGCTCGGAGAATTTGATTGATGTCATTAAAAGGCAAAATGAGGATATATATTTCCTAGAATTATAGTCATACGATTTAAAAAGGGAATAAAAAGGAATAAAAGTATACAGACTACAGCTAACATGAGAAAAGGAAGACGGGGTAAAAAAAGATAAGTGGCAGAGTACAACATAAACAGAGGAGTTTTCTGTTGGGTACAAACAACACCTCAACCATACTATCAATACTGAGCCTCAGGGCTCAGCAATAGTCCGTGGTTCACACCGCCCGCGTCGCGTGTAGTGTGTCTTGATTTTTATTTTGGCGCCCATGTTAACAGATCAGAGCAGTCACACTGCCCGCATGACACACACACACACGCTCTCTCGCACTCCCCCTCGGGTAAACACTGGAGCGCCATAACACGAGTTGACAGCATCTTGCTTGCATGGCAGCGAAGAGGGTTCATCTTCTCTAATAAAGACAACTATTTGTACAGGGGCAAGTAAAAATTGACTTCGGGCATGGAAGTTCCCGACACATTTGGGCAAGAAAAAAAAAACAAACAAAAAAAATGAACCGTCAAAAGGAATTTCTGTGAGCACCAGCTGGTAAATCCCAAAGGCACAGCTGATGTGTATACGCATTAAGTGAGGAAGATTTTGGTTCATACCTTGATTTTGGCTTTCCATTCCCGTCCTCATCAGAACGTTTCCCCTCCTCTGCCGGTTTGAGGTTCTGCAGAGGAATCACTTCAGCGTTCCCGTATCCGGAGAAAGTGACAGCTGCAGTGCCATTCTCTCGGTCTAACTCCTCAATCTCAGCCTCATACACCCTGTCAAAGAATCACGTCTGTAAGCAGGTGAGTATGAGCCAAAGACTCAAGCTCTACTTAATAAAATACAATACTTCATGAAATGCGACTACAGGATATTCGTAAAGGATTTTTTATGATTACAAACTCGATATAAGAATATAAAAGTACCCAGAAACTGACATGCGTTAAAGTAAAATCACATTTTCCTGTCTCTATTTGTTTTGGGCAAATGCATTGAGGGAAGAAAATATATTGCTTGACGTCATCCCATGCATTATCCCCAAAGGTGCTGCTGACTGGGGGCAAATATAAAACATTTACACCGTAGGCATGTAGTGACATTCAAATGTTTAATCTTATGGATTTAAAGTAAACAATGAACATGGATGGATAGAACCTAATCCATAAAAGCAGGGCTCTGAATCATTTCTCCCCCTCAGTGTGTGTGTATTTCTAACTGTTTGATTAATAAAGTGCATCATCGAAGACTGCAGTGCAAATGCAGACCTGCTATTATTTAGCCAAATAATCCCAAAGTCACTACATGGACACTTGGAGTAAAAAAAAAATGTAATATTTGCACGCTCAAACAAACTATTTACATAGAAGCTTTAGGAGCATCCTAATCCAGAAAGAAAGAGCAAGAGTAGGGTCAAACATAATTACAAACTACAGGGAGATCCTAATCCAAAGATCCGGAGAGAAACAGTCAAAGGTGCGCCAACCGCCACACCTACTGACTGCATGAGTTGGGGGAGAGACCAAACCTGAAATGTTGGCAGAAGAGCCGTGGACTGTAATTACTGTGTGCAGGAAATGAACTACAATATAAATATATCTAAATATATTTCTTTTTTTAAGAAAGTCTCTTTTGATGTTTGATTGTGTGTGTGTGTGTAAGTGTAGATACCACTTTTTTTTAGAACTTGAACAACTAAAACGATATATATCCCATGACACATAAACGTAACGATTTCATTTGTAATTACAAGACAGTGTATCTTTTTGCCCCGGTGCTATTTGTATTCTCCCTGGGACAGTGCGACATCCTTACTTTTCAAGTGCTACATAAAATCATCATCTTAATTCAGACGAAGAACAAATCGTAGTGCTATAAGGCATCTTTTCATGAGAAGAGCGTGGAGATACTCACTGTCCATCCTGATTCCACACAGCCATACACCTGTCCCCCACTTTCCAGCCGAGCTTCGGGGGGGCTGTGTCCGAGCCATTGGTAGTGGACGCACTGTCAGCGGGCTGGGAGGTCAGGAGGTCTTTCGTCAAATCAATGACTTCCTGTAGAAGAAACAGATTTTCATGGAGAGCATGGCATTAAAGAAAATTGTCCACGGTATAATAAAGGAATTAGTTATTTACACTGTAGTCATCGGACAAATATCTTTCAGCTTGTCTTAAAATAAAGCAGTCTTAGTATGGAAGCAAACAGACCAAAACATTTGAATTTCAGCAGCCGAACATCCATGAAGGCAAATAAAGCTCTATGGTTTCTTAATGTTAATGTTTCTTTTTTCCCCCCAATAGCATAACTTCAAATAGTAAAATTCAAACCACATAAAAAAGGCAGACTGGTAGTTTCCACAGTAAAATATTTCAGTGTTGGAAACACAATGGTAGTTTATGGTGGTTAAATTTAACAACCGTGTCTCCAGCTGCTTATACGACTGAAATAATTTAACATTGTGCATTTATTCTGCCTCCACACAAATCCGACAACAAGAAGCTCTTAGAGCAGCGAGTCTCACAAACCTGCAAGTCTTTCTGGAGTTTAAGGAGGTCTTCATTGTCTTGATCGGTAGATAGGGCAACTTCTACTTGCTGTAGCTGGGCTTTGTAGCTGTTTAACTGTTTCACCAAATCGTCCGACATCTGTGTTGACAAAAAAAAAAAAAGGAAGACAGTTTTCTAGAAAAGTTGGCTAGCTGTATTAGCCGTCCGAAAGCTAACGGTACACATATTAGGTTAGCGAGCTGTCGTGGTTGACAGTAACATATCACAATTTACTCCTGTATTAAAAACGACATGAGTAAAACGTGGGCTACTTCAAATCCAGAGGAAAAACACAATATAACTATTGAAAAACATTGACGTTAGCTCAACGCTAAAATGGTTAGCAAGATGTCTCGGCCCTCTTTCGTCGACGTAATAACGTAGGACGGCATCGAGCGGCCAAAGGAGCAACCACAGAAAACAAACAGCTCGTACGTGAACTTACCTCGGTATAAATGCTGTTGACAGATAAATAATACAAGCATTCAAATCTTAACTCGGTAGTTTGCCCCAAAAAAACCGCCTGCTTAAAGAACAACAGTACTCTCCTCGTTCTCCTTCCCCCCGTACACAAATAGACAACCGGAAGCCCCTGACACACTTTATCGCGATAACAAAGAAGAGCGGCTCATCAGCGCCCCCAGCGTTCATCCTCTTATCTTCAGTCAGCTGTTCCATAGTATGATACATTGCTGTCGAACTACAATCCCAGCGACTACAGTCATACTATATTACATAAGGTTGTTTTTTGTCTGACTGCCGGATCAAAATAAAGTCGTTTTTTTCCCACAATATTTATTTTGGGGGGTTTTATTGCCTTCAATAGACAGTGACAGCTTAAAAGCCACAGGGAAGGGGGGAGACAGAGGAGACGACACGCAGCAAAGGGCCCCAGGTCAGATCCGAACCCCTGTGGCACTGCAGCAAGGACCCAGCTCCACCAGTCGAGCCATCCCGGCGCCCCCCCAAAATAAAGTTTTTATAATAATGCCGCAGGATTTTCCATACGGGGGCCAGGATATCCTAAGGGTCGCGAGAAGAATCTGAGGGGTCATGAGATCATTACGATACTAGGGGACAAAACGGATGGGAAAAAAACCTTGCTAATTAAAATGTTTATTTTCAAGGGGTTCTCCAACAAATGTAAGAAATAACTATTGCACTGCCCTCAAGTCATAGACATAAAAGCAGACATGGTCACATGTAGAAGTGGCTTTCTAGTAAGTGGTTAAAAGCAAAAAATGGTTGGGAACCACTGTCAGACATCGCCCTGCTAGATAAAGCATAGGTGTGCTTCTCTCTTCAAAAAAATAACGTATGTAGCAAATAATATATAATGTAGCAAAGTGATGATATAACAGAACATACTAGACTTTGTACTTTAGTATGAATGTCAGATGAGCAGAGCACAGCATAGAGATGCCTCAAAGCACTAAGACTCAAATATATACTGTATATCTTTACAGATAAAAACCATTTTAATGCTCCTAATGGATCAATATCATTAAGTCATTTTAGTAAAATATGTGTGTTGAGTCCTAAACAAAATCACTTAACAGTCCTAAAGAAGATAACAAGCAATGCATGCTGGTTGGTATGCCTAAAACGACTTTAAATAAAGAAGCACATTGGTGGATGGTGGAACAATGATATGAATGCAATGGAAATCTCTCGATGGAGTGCTGGAGGAAGAAACACAAGAATAGTGTTTTCCTTTAAGGCATCTTGTCAAATGCATCACAATGTTACCACAATCAAAATCCTCATTGTTAGTGTATCCTATAATCTGGCACACACATGATATTGTCAAATTAAACCTTGTTACAAATGTTACATATGGCAGCACAGTTTTGCATAGTAGCTGAGCATAGTCTAGAAAAAGAAAAATACAAACCACTTAATGATTTTATTTGTGTATCAAATTGCCAAAATGTCTCAGTGCACTCACTTTATTCTACTTTGTTACAAGGAAAGCAAACATTTGTCTAGCTGAAATGTTACTTCTACTGCTGTTGCTGTTCTCCTGCAGTATTAGTGACTGATTTCTTCAGTAAGTCGCTCCGACTTTCTCTATAGATTCAGATATTATTTTAAGCTATTTTTCTTTCAGGATAAATGGGAACATTTTGTTCATGAACTACAAACCCATATAGTGTGTACTTTTAATGCACTGTAATGTAATAGACAGCAGATATTACTTCGATAAATCAAAAATACTATTAATGTCATAATCAGCCAATGTTTTTGGGTTCTGGGAGCAACACCAAATTGCTTTTAAATCTCCAGCTGCAGATGAACTCCGCCTATTCCTGTTTCACTGAAGTGGAGCCGGCATCACAGATCCTCAGCGTCACATGAACCCATATAAAAGACGTACTCCCCACTTCAGCCACAACAGATGAAAAGATCTGCCCGAGCCAGCAGTGTCTGCAATGTAAGTCTGTTTTATGAAATGTCTTCCAAAGGACTTAACTGCAAGTTTTTATTCTGAAAAAAGGTTAGTGGATGAAGAATTATTTTTTTTATCTATTTTAAAACTGGGAATAAATCAAAGTTACTTTCATTTTCTCTTTTTAATATAAAGAAACATTTCTTTCTCTGATGCTGTCTATTTTCTCATTGGCTTCTTTTCTTCTTCTTTCAACAATATCTTCCAGTCAACAAAATGAAAAGACTTGATTCTCCGATGCTGTGTTCTTGAATGGATGATATTAATAGACTGCTGGCAAGCACAGCTTCCAAACCTCCTGAAAGAGCACTGTACAGACAATATCATCGACACCACAGCTCATCCTGATGGGTTGTCTTAACTCCACCAGCGAAGATGAGACTTTGCCTGACAAGGACCCTTATACTGCGCAGACCTCTGTGCCTCTAACAATCCTGGTGGGTATGCTTATCCTGCTAATTGTGTTTGGCAATGTCATGGTAGTTATTGCTGTGATCACAAGCCGAGCTCTGAGAGCACCTCAGAACTTGTTTTTAGTCTCTCTGGCATGTGCAGACATCCTGGTTGCCACTTTAGTGATGCCATTCTCTTTAGCAAATGAACTGATGGGTTCCTGGCACTTTGGTAAAGTGTGGTGTGAAATCTACCTGGCTTTGGATGTGCTCTTCTGCACCTCATCCATCGTTCACCTGTGCGCCATCAGCCTGGACAGATACTGGTCCGTCTCTCAAGCGATTGAGTACAACCTGAGGAGGACGCCGCGCAGGATTAAATGTACAATTTTTATAGTTTGGGTACTAGCGGCCATAATTTCATTCCCTCCGCTTATCACAATGAAAAAGGACGAGGGTAAAGAGGACAGACCTGAATGTAAAATTAATGAAGAGAAATGGTACATCATATTCTCCAGCACTGCCTCTTTCTTTGCACCCTGCGTCATCATGATTATGATGTATGTTAGAATCTACCTGATTGCCAAGAAAAGAACAAGAGACCCGCCAGGGCAAAGGCAAAAGGAATGCGGCAATTTGGGCAACTTGGACAGAAAAGACGGAGAAGAGGGCGAGGTGGAAAGGGGGGACATTAGAGGGGTCAATGGGCCAGACGTGGAGGAAGAACCGTCCTCGTCTGATGAGAACGAAACCATCCTATGCTCACTAGTGAAGAAGAGGGGTATGAGAACAACCAACGTGGCTCAGGTGAAGCCTGGAGAAACCTGTCCGAAGCCAGAGGTGCAGCCCTGTGTGAGAGTGAGCAGGTGGAAAGGAAGGCAGTACAGAGAGAGGCGCTTCACATTTGTTCTGGCTGTGGTCATGGGAGTGTTTGTTCTCTGCTGGTTCCCCTTTTTCTTCACGTACACGCTCACTGCTTTGTGTGACGCCTGCTGTGTCCCAAAGACATTGTTCAAAATGTTTTTCTGGTTTGGTTACTGCAATAGTTCACTTAATCCTGTTATATACACTATATTCAATAATGACTTCAGGAGGTCTTTTAAAAGGATTCTTTGTAAACGGTACAGAAGAGGTTTATAAATAACATTTTTATGTACAAATCTCAAAAACAGCATTTTTTGTCATCTACTTTACGGCTCATACCAGTGTAAATATTCCATTTTTTAAAAATAAAGATATTTATTGAATATTTGAAAAATGTGAAATGGAGCATATTTTGCTTTTGTGTTTTAACATTCTGTGAACTTCCACTTCAGTAAATGTTTGTTTTGAAATATTAAATCATGCAACAAATACCTAATGTGCAGTTTGTTTTACAGCCAGTATTACACTGTGCCTACCTGTTGAAACAACATGGATAATAAGGAAATTATCAGACATAATCTCTTATGGTTTGGGTACTCATGCTCTAAACTTGAAAGACTGTAAAGGCTTCAAAGACTGACAGCATGATGTAGACATGGAAAACAGAAAGATTACAGCTGCATATTTCTTCTGAGAGCAAACCGTGAGAGAGGCAGTAATAATATTGTTAATGGTTAATGTTAAATTATATATATATTTATATATTTGTTCTTAATATATGTTGTTTGTATATCTGGAGTTTGTAACAAAAATAATTTCCACTTGGGATTATTAAAGTATTTCTGATTCTGATTCTGATTCTGATTGTTCATGTACAGGCAGACGTCTAAGGCTCACATTACATGCAAAAAAAAAAACAAAAAAAAAAACATGGCCAATAATTTCATTATGACTGAAAGCAATTATCCTGCAAGAGAAATGAAATGCCAAAATGATGCACATTATTTGGAAACTAAGCCTCTCTCTCCTTAATTGCCATCAGAAGAAAAAGATAATACAGAGGACCATAAATGCTACATCACACACATAAAAACATCCTTGTAAAACTGTACAAACAAAAGCAGGAGCACATGATAACCCGAACAATGGTATCCCCATAGCACCAACTATCTCCTTCACTCATAACAAGCATGAGAACAAGACAATTTTATGAAAAGAAAATTAGGCCTAGGAGGTACAACAATATTGAATGCAGGTTATCGTGAATTATAGCCCTTCATATCAGGATATCATTAAATCATCCCCTGGAGTCAAACAGAAATCTCGCAGCGATAGAAATATGAGTGGCTGCTGCAAATTACACTGTGAGGTTAATATCCACACAAGCTTATCATTGTGTCGTGTTCCTATACGCTGTCTGGTGTCAACACTCCCTGTCTCTTCTCCTTTTTAGCACACTTTTCACACCGCTATGACCGTTCTTCATATCAACTTTTAGACTTTTAGACCAGTATCAGCCTGTGAACCTGAAATAAAGTCAATGCACTATCCATAATTGCTTTAACTTAGCAAACATTTCCACCAACCACCTCTCATATATACAGTAAATAGCAGAGTGATTCCCATGACTTGCTGTTTGGGACTTTGGTGTTTTGAGATTCCTGTGGTACACATGTTTGGGTTCAACCATGTCTCTGAGTCTTAAAATACAACAACTATGACTTACCACAAATGATAAACTATAGACCTACTGTATTGCTAGTTCCCACGAACAATCTGACACGAGAAATATTAGAAAACGCTGGTATCTGAGGAATTGTGGGGATGAGAATTTGTGTAAAATAAAGCCGTTTCTGCAAGCTTGTTCCATCATTACGAGGCTTTCTTAGGACACTGGTGCTCAGAGTTGGTATCAATAATTTGTACAGGGAAGAAAATCATACAACAACAACATTATGTAACATTTAGTACCATAAAATATTTGCAAGACCATTCTTCTTCTTGGCTGCGATCCATGGCACATCAATGTGTCTTGAAAGATTAAAGTGCGGTGATTGCAACCTGAATGCAGCCTTTAATTAAGATGACAACTACAGTGGAGTCCATCGCTATGCTCGAGCAGCACGATGCATCGTTAAAGCACATACTCGCCAAGCAATAGAGAGATTAAATGTCAAAACATCCATTGCCCAACAAGAATAATGAAATGGTAGGAATTACAAAAAATCATCAAGAGTTGGCAATACCTCATGATTAGTTTGTTAAATGTAAACCGCAAAAAACATTGGTCTCATACTGAATTAATCACCAGTCATTGAATGTTTCCAAATCTTTAATGTTTCTGTGAAATTCAACTTCTATGTCTCACTCCATGTCACTGTAAATTACGGTTGGTTACACACTGTAAACAGTGTGGTTGGTAACCATTGCTATTCTCAGTGTGTATACACACACACACACACACACACACTCGTCCACTTTCTCCGTCCGCTGAGACAATGATTTATTTCCCTCTCTAAAGGCCACTTTAGAGCATCACAATTTATGCTTGTGACACCGCAGCTCATAAATCCATGCTTTATAAGCTGCTTCTGGCAGGAGTTCCCACAACTTTCACACAGCTCCCCTTCCCCATTTCCATCTAATTTCTCCCACATACAACTCAGTAAGTGTTTTTAAAGCTACTAGTTATGTATCTAAAGAGGCTGAAGGACTTAAAAGCAAATAGACCAAAGAGAAAAGACTGCATCCCAGACATACAGAGGTTGTTCAGTCAGACAGAGGCTTCGAGACCATACTAATAAGTTTAAATCATAGTGTGTGATGAATAGAGTGTTTTTAATTGAATGTTGGGTCATTTATTATGAATTGGGCACAATGCATCATGCACACTGGGGCATATAATACTTCCTCCCTCTTGAATTGATAAGGATGCAAGATAATCAAATTACTTTCTGAGGGATGTAAGCAGCAGGAAGGTCCTGTTTAATTTGCCTCATGCAATCCCTGTTACTTTCTCCACTCATTCTGCTCACTGTTGCATCTATAATGGAATCTTTTCTCAATGAAAAGTCATGTTTTAATCCCTAGCTTTTGAATGTCTTTGATGTATTTAATTACAATATTTCCAGCTGTCTAAGTATGGAGAGGATGACAGAAACCAGTATGAAAATATGGATATTTTGTGAATGACTTGCCTAGCCAATTTATTTCTGCCTGTTAAGGTGGCATCTATTAGAGGCAGTTGTTTTTTTAAATCTCCAATCCTTAAAAAGGGATCATTGTGATTGGTGTTTTAAATCAACTAGTAGGTTCCTATATATATATATTTCAAAGTCAAACAGCCTCGTCTGAAAGAGGCTCAAGAAGACCCCAGGGGAATGAGAACCCCACTGGGTTTGAAGAGACCCAAAAGTGCTTGGAATTTGGAATTGGAATTAACTAAATATATCAACTGTATCAACAAATAGAAGTTCATTCTTTAGGACAGCCAATATAGCCTTTACTGATTCATGCTTTCACATTTAATCACATTTACTGCATTTGTTTGTTCCTACATACAACAAAAGAAGTATTATATTTATATATTTATATCGTATTATATCTAAACAACGATCAGTATAAATGAACAGGAGTGAATTTCACAACATAAACCCCCAATATGAAGTGATTATTGTATTCATACAAAAAAGCCCCAAAAAATAAGAGTTAAATGGAGAACAATATATGAAGTTTTAAATGTTAGTATCTGATTCTCCATCTAATGTTCCTACAGCAATTTTATTTAGTGAATGTAAGTTATAGTTATTCCACTTCAACTCCAACAAATTAGGTCTGAAGGCTTTTCTGGCCAGTCTACCTCTGTCTGTTTTGTCTATTGTCATTTTAAGCATATTGAAAAGAAATCTCTGACATTGTATGTTATAACCAACAAATTCTGTTTTACATGATATTCTGAACTTCTTTGAACTTGATCGTGTGTATTTAGGTATATATTTGTGTGTGTGTGTGAGTGAGAGAGAGAGAAGAAAAGAGAGGGGCAAATGGGGTGAAAAGGTTAAAGGTCAAACTGTTATGAACAGTCTTACTCATCCGTCTTATCTATGACCTTAAAAATCTGTCACAGTAAGATAACATGTAGTGAAAAGTTGAATGAGTGTGAAACCATTGATTGTTCTCGCCCATCATCATCAAACACAGAGATACGCTGCCTGTGTCCTGTGAAACTCTAAGCACCATCTGCAGCAATGCTCTCTGTGCTCTGCAGTGAATCCTCACTGATACCAAATTAAGCTCTGGCAAATCTCCTGCTCCGGACACCATAATTCTTCCTTAGCCATCTTGTCCTGTCTGTGCTATCGATCGTATCCAATTCCAGTCAGGCCAACAACACTCATCCTCATGCACAAGCTTCTGCAGAGCCCCCGCACCCCACCCACATGCTCCTGGATGATGTCAGCGACACACAAAGTCAACACCACTCCAGGTCACGCTGGCTATCACTGTACTTTATCTGTCCTCACCAGCCAGCTGCTGTAGACAATTTATCCTTTAATATGCTGTTGGTTAACACACACCCACACACAGAAAGACCAAGCTGTACCACACTATTAACTATGTCCCTTGTCATCTACTGCAAGGGTCAACATTGTCTGCTTTACCTCTTTTTGACAGCATCTCAGTCAACAAGGCAATATTCTGACTACCGTCATGGACATTGGAATCATAATGTGATTGTTTGAAGTGAAAACACAAGATGACTACATTACATTAGATATGAGGTTATTACTTGTAGTTACAATAACTTTGAAGGCTGTCAGCAATGGTTGAAAAGTGATGATGAAATCCAATTTTCCAGGTAAGATAATATACTGTATATTTGTAAATACAAGATTAGCCAAGAATGAATTCATTTTGTGTTGCTACACTTCTAAAACTCGACAGAATAAATAAAAGGCAATCATTCTGAACAAGAGTAAAGCGCACTCAACTTGATTTGTGCTCCGTCTTAAATATTATGCTAAAAATAACATTGTCATTTCTATTTTATGGGTATATTTTGACCCTTAAAGACAATTCAGTGACACATCCTAAAGTGTTCCAGTTTTAACAAGTATTTAATAGATATTAAGTTGGAGTGGATGGTAGAGTGGTCCTACTTAGGCACCCCATATTTCAGTGAGGAGGAGTAGTGGTTGCAATGTGGTCCAATCTGAACGCTTCCTTCTCTTTGACACATGTATAATAATAACTACTACACTGGCAGACTTCAGTGAGGACATTTGAGCTCTGGATTCAGGTGAGTGTGCTGTTACCTCTACATGTCAGCAGATGGCGGCTCGAGTGGCAGGTCTCCAGGTGGTTTGTGTTGACAGATGTCTCCTCCTCGACTCCTGAAAAGGTAAATAATTATTTCAAAATGTTTTTGGCATTTTCTTTTTGATATTTTCTGTGGTCTGTGTTTAGGGTGTTGTTAGGAATATTAACTGAGCTCAACATGGTTGCAAAGCAGGGTTAGCTCGCTAAATTTTGGTATGCTGATAAGCTGATTTTAAATTAGGACCAATTGATGATGACTATATAAATATAGCAAGTAGTGTAGTGTAATTAACTGTAGAAAAAGCAGCACATTTTGTAAATAACGATTATTTATTACCATTATACCAACCCCATGCAGCTGTATGTAACTTCACCTACTGTAGATACACTTTAGCTATCTTGATTATTAAGCAACAAAAAGCTAACTAGCATTTGTTTAAGCAAGTTGGAAATACTCTTACTTGCTGGTGTTTTGAGCACATTTCCAGATTTCTCAAAGAGACGTTTAGTTTTTGCATTGGTACAAAGTATTATCGTAGTGCGCCATGTAGCTAGATAATGATATTTAGCTTTAGCTAGAGCTAGTTCGTTTCCCCAATTTGTCAAAAAAAAAATGGCAGCCGGAAGTGGCAGACCTCATACTGGAGTTGTGCAGTAGGATGCAAACAGCAGCACGTTTATGGTTTGAACAAACAGAGAATATGTGTAAATAAGATAAATATGGATACATAAACATAACTAGAAAATGTTCAACTTTGGGTCGAAAATGAGATAATATGTTAAAATGCATCTTTATTGTGTTGAATATTTGTTCCTCTTGGATACAACATTCAAATGTCTCCTAAACAGTAGTAAGTGTAGACAACAAGCTGCTGGCTTCATTCATTCAGGAACACTTAATGCATGAGTCAAATGTAGCTCTATCAATGCAAAATGAACAGCTGGGAGTTCAAATATACGGAAGCCGAGAACGGCCATGGATTTTTTTTTTTATGCACTGTTATCTCGTGATAACGACTTATTAATTCGTTATCTCGAGATAAAAAAAGTTTGTTTT